GACACAAGAATCATTGTAAAAACACTCTAAAACACTTAGAGAGGACAGGTAAATGCATTTTCCCCTAAAACTGTGTATGGTACATACCCAAAGTTGATTGCAATAGCGTATCGACAGGTGTGCAGCCGCCATAAAAACCCGGTACAACTACACCAAGAGAAAATAGTAGCGGCTGACGACAGGACACCAGCGATGACGAACACCAGCAGGTCAATGAAGAACTGAAAGTAAGATCAGATGAAAGTAGTGAAGGATAGTGTTAGGTTTCAGCTAACTTGTTCAAATCTTGACTTGTATTATTGACTGCTTTATTAAAAAAGAAAAAGCACTCCCTAGTACAGTATATGCCTGTGTAGCATATAGGCGAGAAAGAAGGAAAGAAAGAAAGAACGTAACAGAAAAATATGATGTAATATAAACAGTGATATAGTATATATAATGGTGTCACAGGATGGCATGGTGAGATAGTGACTATATGAAATACATTTCCTGGAAAGCAAATGTTTCTTTTATATAATCACGCAGTACTACACTGACGCTGCAGTATCTCTGTCCATTTTAGGTCTCGAGACCTAACACCTCCACCCACCAAAAAAGATGAACTGCCACGTTCATCGAAATTTAAATAGCTCTCACATGTCTTTTTCGTATTCAATGTTCCATTCATATTTTCAATATTCCAGCACTGCCACTACTGTTATCATTGAACGAACGTTTGCATGCGAGCCTGTTCTGTTTCCACTGAACTGTTATTATCGGCATTTGTTGAGGTTAAAATCCAATAATAAGCCGAATATGCAAAGCTTCAATAATATAGAACTTTGTATATAAAATCAATGAGAATCATCAAACACTGAAATTCTACTGATTGGTTAAACCATCGACCAAGGGTTGCCACCACCTTGTTGTTCACGTGAAGAGCCAATCCTTGAAACTGAGTATCGGTGATTGCTGTAGATGTTGTGTGCGAATTTGTTAATAATTTGCATATAACCAACAGAATATACACGTGCCTAGTAGCCGGGCCATATCCACTGGAAACACCAAGTGTATTATGTTAATGGGGATCGAATAGTACCAATCGTAATTCATTTTCAATGGATGAATAACCAATTTTGTCAAAGCTTGTCGATTTCCATTTATGTTTCCATTGTTCGAAGAATGTTCCACCATCTAAACGAACACCCATTAATATTAAATTAATGTGAGAACCAGTATCATTTGTTGGTTGATGACTGCCAGGACATAATGCCAGTGAGAGCATGATAACCATGAGCCATGTGGACGAGCACACAAATTTCCACATCGTTTTCAGTTTTTGTTTTCCACTTGTGCATGCTTGAATGATCAACTGTGTCAATGACACCGTTGAGCTATCTCCACTTGATGTTAGACAGTGAATTCTGATCAATGATGCAGCTTCTTGTTCTGTGTTATTTCGTTTGGGACGATACTGGAGTATTTTAACCAATTTACGATCAAGGTTTTCATCATACAATGATGCTGATGTAATAAGTAATCGAATAACTTGTTTCATTGTATCATTTTTCGCTTCTCAAACGTTCCAGCTCGAGTTTACGTCGCAGTTTCAATTCATTTTCAACGTGTTCGAATTTTAATACCAATCAGTCCAGTTCTGATTGCTGTTGTATCATTAATTTTTTACGTAATGATTCGAATATTGATCGTTCTCATTTTACTTCCCAAATATGCCAAGATTCATCCCTCTGCGGCCATGTTTCGCCAACATGTTCCACTGCTCCCATATCGAACTCATATGTTGATTGTTGTTTAGCATCAGCCGTCGATCGCATGCGATAATACGACTCGCAATCTTGTTGTTGTTATTGTTCATGGAAGGAATACTGCTGACTTGTTATTGTTGATTCTGGTGATTGTTGAAATTTGATGATTGTTCCCCATTTTCATGTACTAGTGTCACATCATAAATATCGACTTGCTAAGATTGGTTATCGCCTTGTTGAGTAACAAAATATCTATAACCATCAGAGGTTTTGTTAAGAATTGTTGATAGATATGTTTTCCCATCATTAAACAGAGTAAAAATCTTTCGGACTTGTTCAATACTCGTGAAGGAGACGATCGTTTATAATCAATATTTTCGCCATACTGATATATATCACAATTTTCGATCTGAAATTCTTGGTTATAACGATGGGAATAAACCTGACATTTTTGTTCATCAAAGTTCAAAGTATTTGATGAATGCTGGCCAAACAGATGACCGTTATATTCAAACCAGTTTTAAATTTTGTAAATGCAAGTGATCCACCATACGATCGGTTATAACGTTTCATTGAATTTGAATACCATTGCGTTGTCTGTTGACCTTGTCGATGAATTTGTAGCGGTCCATCCTCTACGACATGTGTTTTAGGATTTGTTGAAGTTAGTTGCCGTCGTGTGTTGATTGTTGTTTCCACGGTTGTGGACAATAAGAACATTGTTGTTGGTAAGATCACTGTTGTTTCATTGTGACTTGCTTCTAACAAATAATACCACTTGAGTTCGTCTTTGATCATGACGTTGTTTGTTACCAAAGCCGACTAGTGCATCATTAAGTACAGGATATGCCTGTGTAGCACATAGGCGAGAAAGAAGGAAAGAAAGAAAGA